CAGGAGATTGGGGAGCTCCCCCCTATCAGGCACAGAGCAGGGCTGATCAGGGGGTTGGGGTGCCTTCCCCTGTCAGGAACAGAGTAGGGAGGTTGTGGCCCCGCCCCCTGTCACACACAGAGCCGCAGGGCGATCAGGGGATTTGGTCGCTGCCCCCTGTCACACTGATCCCGGTGCTGGGAGGCATATTACCCTTTTACTATATAGGATAGAGGCCTGGTGCACAGGTGGGGGCCGGCTGGTTTGCCCTCTTCTATCTAGCTGTCTTCTCGAGATCACCTAATGTGGATATCTCATAGGCATCTTAAGCTTATCATGTCTAAAAACGAACTCTCTTCTCCCTTTTCTCTGTGTCCCAATCCACATTGTTGCTTTCTCAATCTTCCCTACCTCATTTTCTAGTTTGCTTTAGGCCAGATCTTACAGTCACCTTTGACTCTTCTTTCTTACCACACACCCAGCACACTAGTAAATCCTTTTGGCTCTACCTTCAAAATATATTATAGCAGAATCCAACCACTTCTCACCGCTTCTGCTTCTGTATGGGTTCAAGCGATTCTCCTCTGGATCATTGCAATAAACTCATAATTGGTTCCCCTGCCTTTTCCCATCCCCTATCTACTGTCCACATAAATCAGATCATGTCACTCTTCTCCTCAGAATCCTCCAGTGAATGAAAGCCAGTGATCTTGCATGACCTACCAGGTCACTCAGGGTCTGGCTAGCCTGCTACTTCTCTGATCTCATATCCTACCAGCTCCACCTTTTCTCATCATGCTTGGCCACACTGGTCTTCCACACAGACTTCAAACATGTCAAGTATGTTCTACCTGAGGAGCTTCGTACTTAGTGCTCCCCTCTCTGCAGTGTTCTTTCCCACATACACCTACGTGGCCGAGGCACATGCTCAAGTAGCCCCTTGTTCTGGACGCCTTCCCACAGCATCATATGTAACATAAGGCTCCACAGGCCCTCCTCACCTTCCTTTCCCCACTGGACCTGACTCCAGTCATCATCACCATCTGGCCTATACATACTTACTTTTCATTTGTTTAGCATCTGGCCTCTTTTGACTAGAATGTACGCTCCCCAGGGCAGGGATTTTGTTTTGTTTGCTGCTTTGTCTTAGCACCTGGAACAGTGTCTGGCACATAATAGCACTCAATAACAAATACTTTTGAATACATAAAACAACTAAAGGAACTGCATTAACATCATATACCAAAAGGTGTTTAAAATAATATAAGGTATCACCAATTACAAATGGATTGTTTTCCAAAAGTTTTTAAAAAATCTTTATTGTTGAAAGTATTACATATGTCCCCATTTTCCCCCCATTGACCTCTTCTAGCCC